AGCCAGCAGCCTTACAGACAGGTCTTCTGCCTAGTGGAGACTCCCAGAACCAAGGTCAGGGGGGTCACAGGCTTCCCGCTTTGAAAGGAGGAGGGTACTGCCAACAGGAGGCCCGTGGCGATGTTTGGGCCAGAACGCCCTTCCTCTGTGGAGGGGGCCACCAGCCCTCCCCCCAACAGGGTCTGGAATTGGGCCCACTCCCCTCCAGAGGGCTCCCCCTCCTCGTCCCCCAAACCAGAGCCTTCCAAAGTTGCCCGCTAGACGCCTTCAGGTCAGAAGGTAGCCGTGTAACTCGCTGCCACTAGATGGCGACCCTATAAAGGCAAAGCCACGGGCACAGGCCGCCGCCACGCCGGGCCGCCTAAGGCCCGGGAACCGCGGACCGCGGACCTTCTTCGCCCAGGCGGGGTGCCTCGAGGGATCAGGACTAGCGAGGCTGAGTAAAGGGGCGCTGCTTTCCTGTCCGCCAGCCCAGGGATGGGGGCGGGGGCGGTTCCGGAGGGCAGTTCCTCCCCTGGCCCAGGGCAGGGGACCCGACCCCGACCCCCGCCCCGGGGCTCAGGCTGTGCGCAGAAGCAAGTGGCACTTCGCCGCGGGATGGGGCACCTGTTGGGACAAGGACTTGAGCCTTGAGGGAGGGGGAGAGAACACCCGCCGGAGGGCCGGGGGCCTCGGAGGCACAGCCCCCGGGCTCGAGGCCACGGCCACGGGGGCGCCGGTGCGCAGGGAGCAGCGCGCGAGCCGCAGGATCCGAAGGCAAGTAGTTCAGCGTCTCGAAATGCGCTTGGCAGCTCGTGGAACAGCTGCGCAGGCTTTCCCGCCACAGAGCCAAGGTTCTGCGTGCGGATGAGTGTAATGAGGCACGAACAGGGCATTGTTGCCGACATTTCTGCAACACGGTTAGACCTCAGCTGACGTCAGTGCGCTCTGACCCGCGAATGTGCGGGCCCAGGGGCCGGAGCCTCTGCCCAGGACGCCAGGAGGGGGCGCTCCCGGGCCGTCGGTGCCGCCTGTGGGTCATCGACAGAGAAAGAATGAGGGTGGGCGGGGCTTCAGAGACACTTGCTCCCTTCGTGGGTTCCAAAGCCAAACCAACGGATGTACGGATGTTAAAAAAAAGGCTGTATTTTTATTCCATTCAAAGTGGAAATAGTTTTAGTTCTACAGGAAACTGCTTATTCTTACAACATTCACTATTAACTCCACTTTTGTTTAAAAAACAAGTATTTAAGTATACTCAAAAAGTGCTTAGAAGCACATACTAGTATAATATACCAAACTTAAAGAAAAGTTGTTTTAAAAATGTATACATTATTTGCATGAAAACAGCCTATGTATTAGTTTTGTAATTAGAGCATCTGTGATTATTTTGGTCGATTTGGGGTTTTTCCTTCAGGTGGAGCTGTTTTCCGTCCCTTGTCCCTTGCAGGTCCTGCTACCCTCAGGGAGAGGGCTAATGCAGACACAGCGGTTAGGGCAGGGTTATTACTGAGATGTCATTCTCCTCCAGAAGTCCGTCTCTGGGCCAGGACTGGCTTTTCTTTTCTTTAAAAATATATTTTTATTGATTTCAGAGAGGAAGGGAGAGGGAGAGAGAGATAGAAACATCAATGGTGAGAGGGAATCATTGATCGGCTGCCTTCTCCACACCACCTACTGGTGATGGAGCCCACGACCTGGGCATGTGCCCTTGACCGGAATCAAACCTGGGACCCTGCAGTCCGCAGGCCGCTGCTCTATCCACTGAGCCACACCAGCCAGGGCCAGGGCTGGCTTTTCTTACTGTAGATTGTAGTTCCGTCAGGAAGTGCTAAGCAGGTTTGCCCTTTTACTCGCAGAGCCGGTACCCAGGCACTTGCCTTTGTGATGAGTGGGGCCCGGTGGTCTCTCACCCAGGAACCAAGAGGCTGGGCTCCCATCCATACCTCTCGGTAGACACATGCAGGCACTCATTCTGCATGCATTCTGCCCCTTTATCTTGGAGATGTTTCAGATCAGCAGAGGCAGATGCACTCTGTTCTTTTTAAAGGGCTGCTTTCACTCTTCCCAGGTATATATGGCAAACATTTGCTATTCTTTCTTTTTTTTAAAAAAAATATATTTCTTTATTGATTTCAGAGAGGAAGGGAGAAGGAGAGAGAGATGGAAACATCAATGATGAGAGAGAGTCATTGATGCCTCCTGCATGCCCCCCACTGGGGATGGAGCCCACAACCCAGGCATGTGCCCTCGGCCGGAATCGAACCTGGGACCCCTCAGTCTGCAGGCTGACGCTCTATCCACTGAGCCAAGTCGGCCAGGGCTGCTGTTCTTTCTTGACCAGCAGCCAGTCCCCTTTCTTCCTGCAGCAATAGCCTATATTTCTCCACTCTCAGTCCCATGTTTTGGGAGGGGGTGACCCTGGGCCAACTCCAGGCATAGACCTACAACTCAGACCTTTACCACAGTCATTGGTTCAGGGATGGACACAGGGACAGGGTGGGGACAATGCAGTCAGGGCCAGGACTGACCTATGAAGGGAATAGGAGCTCTCTTCTGCAGGCTCTGCACCTGGGAAGGGGCAGTCCTGGGCACTTTCCATTAAATGGAGTCTGAGAATGAAGGCAAAGTGGAGAAGAGCAGAGACAAATTATGAGAGAGCCAGTGCTTGTCTTGATGACATAGTTTAAGAGTCTGGTTCAGCTTATACCTGGAGCCCTCCCTCTCCACCCTGAATTTTCAGTTACAGGAGCCATTGTGGGCAGGGCTTTCTGTGAGTACCCTGCGGAGAGTTCTGGTACGGAAACTGGCATCAAGAATGGGGGATTGCTAGTGACCATGAATACAGAATTGACTGAAGAGCATTGTCCTGATATGCCAAGGTTGAGGGGTCAATCCCCAGCCAGGGCATATACAAGAATCAACCCATGAATACATTAGTAGGTGGAACAAGGGAATGCTCTCTCTCTCTCTCTCTCTCTCTCTTTCTCTCTCTCTCTCTCTCTCTCTCTCGCTCTCTCTCTCTCTCATCACTCTCTCTCTCATCAATCAGTAAACAAAAAATAGAAAATAAGAGAATTGACTGAGCCAACTCAAGGTGGCTACAAATTGGCCATCCTTGTTATGCAGCCTTGAAGCAACGAATTACATTGTTGTTCCTCAGACTAAGCGTTTTTCAGCGCTGGGAATTAGGAGGCTAAGTAAAAGCTGATGAGCTTTCCTGCTATTTTCAGTAAGATCAGACACGAAGGAAATGAATAGGAGATTCTGACGTGGATACTACGATGTGGATGCAAGTTGAAGACATTATGCTAAGTAAAATGTCAGTCACAAGAAGAAAAATACTGGATTACTCTACTTATAAGCGTTATCTAGACTAGTCAAATTCACAGGGAGAGAAAGTAGGGCAGAGGCTGCCAGGGGCTGGGGGAGATGGGAATAGGGAGCCATTGTTTAATGGGTCCAGAGCCCCTGTTTTGCAGTTCAGGAGATGGATGGTGGTGATGGCTGTACAACACTGTATACTTAAAAATGGTGAAGGTGGTAAATTTTATGTTACGTATAATTTCCTACAAGTTAAAAAGCACATACACAGAAGGAAGAAAATACAGTTTTTTTTCAGAGAGGTCCTTTCTTTCTGCCGTGGCCTGCAGTCCAACATGGCTGAGTCTGGTCAAGCCACAGTGGAGAAGCTGAATTTTCTTCAATGAGCTGGAGCTACGGAGAGCAAAGGCTGAGGGGCAGAAACCAGGAAGAGAGGAGGTGGGATCAGGAGAATAATGACATTATCCATGTATGAACTCTACATATATGAATTTGCCACTCTTAACAACCCTCTGAGGAAGGTGCTGGCTTACAGATGAGGCTAAGAAAGGCCTGAGGAAGTTAAATAAACAAAGGGGCAGAGCCAGGACTGTGACGGGGGGCAGTCAGTGGCTCTGTTACTACACCACTGCATTGGGGAGCAAAGGCCTGACATCCTAAGGGAATTGCATAGTTAGAGGCCTGGGCTCTGGCTCCAAAGGCTGGTGTTGGCTTCTTGCAGCTCCTGCTGCCCCCTTCCCACCGCCCCCCCGCCCCCCGCAGCAGCTGTGCCTCAGCCCGGGTGCAGAAAAGTGGACGTGGGATTGAAAAGCTGCCACGCTGCCCACCCGTGTCTCACTCTCAGCCTTTAACTCCCGTGGACTCCCTTCCTGAGGACAATCTGGGGAGCAGTTGGGGGAAACACTGGCTATGCAAAATGATTTGCTGCTTCCAAGATTGTTCACCACAATCCTCTTCAATATGCGTAAGTCCAGGAACTGACAAGCCCACGCTCATTCCCTGGGCCACAGTGTCACTGTCGACGCGTCTCCCAGTTGGCTCCGAGAGTGGGACATCTCTTGGCCAACGTGTTTTGATGACACTCCTTATTTCTGCTTCGGACAATCTATTTCTGCGCACTGCTTGGGGTCCCAAATACGGGCTGAGTATAAAGATTGGGCTGCGCATGAGAGAGATTCGGAGTCGTCACCTGGCCTGAGGAGGGGCTGATGGGAACCAGCAGAGGACGAATCACATCCCCAGGAACGTGTGGCAAAAAGGATGGGACAGAGGAGCGGTCCTTCCCTGCCGGGGAGACATATTCCTGCAAGACGAGCCACGGTCCAGAGAGAAGCACAGGTGAACTTGACAGAGGACGGCTTCGCCCCAGTGGAGAGGCATTCCTTCAATAGATGGACCCCCTCCCCGTTCCACAAAAAGGACAGTGTAGGAAGAAGGACCTTGCAGACCCCGTGGCTCCCAGCTGAGTAGTGGGTCATACTGTGATACTCACGCGCACTTGGCAATGAGAATTTGACTGTTGACAGCCAAGAGCAGGCTCTGCGGAGACTATGCCAAGCTACAACCGCCTAATAAAATATATTCTACTACCAGCACTTAGGTTTTCTTCTCCTTGTCGTGGTTTCATAATTTTCCCACTTTATTCACTTATGGGCAGTAAAGTGATTTATCGTTGTTATTACAAATCGTCTCTTTCTAGCCCTCTCTGCCAAGAGCTGAGACCTCCTGGTGCCCACGGTCATGAGCAGTTTGGTTGCAGGTTTCAGGTGAGTTCACTGACTCCCGGGGTGTGCCCGTCTGGGGCGGGAGGGGTGGCAATGCGACCTTGTAAACCCAGCCCAAAGGAGTGAGCTGAGGAGCCCATCACCCTCATCCACATGGAGATACTTTCCTGACACCCTCCCAGCTCAGCGCCTGCTCATCCCCATAACAACCCCCTCCCTCCCTCACCTAACGAGCAGTGAGCACGTTCCCTTCCTGGTGGGGGAAGCAGGCCAGCTCATGGAGGCCTGGCCATATGGGGGTGTTTGACTTTGAGGTTCTCATCCAGTGACCCTTTTCCCCAAGGGCTGTGACATCTTGTGCTCAACTGGGTCCCTGACACTCTGACTCAGATGCATGGTCAGCGGTAGCTCAGAGGTGGACGGGATCCTGCAGGTGTCTGCGTGTATTGTGGGTGCCTGCCTTTTAGTGTTACACGGTGTTTTCTATTAAAAATGTGAATTATTTGCCAGCATTAAAAATTACAAAGTTTCACATAACACAGATTTCCAACTCTTTGGAAAACGAGGCAGTGCTGCTAAAGTGGAGCAGCATTCCCGCTTGGCAGTGACCGCCGGCCTCAGCGAGGGGCCTCCTCAGCCCCCACCCAAGGGATCTACTCCTTCCTGCGACCTGGTCCCTGGAGATTGGAGTTTACAACTCTGTGCCCTCCAAGTTCAGCTGACACTAACAACCTTCCCAAACTGCTCAGGGCCCACAGGGAAATGATGAAGAGCTTGGGTCTACCCACCAAACTTCAGGCGGCAGGAGAATGTATCGTAATAAAATGTGTGTTTGTCTCTCTACATATTTCCTAATTGTAAGCAAATCACCAGGCTTTGTATCACTTTGCCTAAAGGACCTGGGAGTGTGTGTGTGTGTGTAGGGGGGTGGGTGGGGGGGGGGGGGGACGCAGAGCAAAACAGCCTGAAATTGAAGCTGATCTGTACTAAAAACCTAGGCCCACTGAAGAGATGACAGGGCGTCCTGCAGAGGGAGGGGGGGCGTGGGAGAAGGCCTTGGGGAAGTGGGGACGTGAGAGGGGGAGCCCCCTGCCTTAGGAAGGCCTGAGAGGTTGGGGCTCCTCCCGAGCAGTAGGGCCCACCACCACTCCGTGGTAGCCCCTGGAGGTGGCCACAGGTCAGTGAGGCCAGGAGGGCAGGACTCTGGCCCCAGAATCTCAGCACCATCCAAGACCCCATATCCCATGAAAGGCAGGAAGCAGGACCCGTGGGCTCCGAGGGACATGCTGATTTGACAATAGGTGTCATCCATGACTTCTCTCTTAAGGTGTGGGGGTTCGCATGCAACCTGGGAAGGGCAGGGACCCTCCAAATGAACTGAGGTGAACGGAATGGAGGACTGACACAGGCTACAGCAAGGATGACCCTGGAGAACATGCCAAGTGAAGAAGCCAGTCACAAAAGACCACATACTGTGTGGTCCCACTTTCATGAATGTCCAGCATAAGCAAAGCCATAGAGACAGGAAGTAGACTAGTGGTTGCCAGGGGCTGGAGGAGAGGGGATGGGGAGGGACTGCCTGGTGGGCGCCGGGTTTCTTTTAGGGTGATGGAAACATTCTGGACTTAGATAGTGGTGATGGTTGCACGACATGGTGAGCCACATTAGAAGACACTGCAATGCGACTTCAAAATAAAGTGCTGCATTTTGTTATATAAATTTTATCACAATCAAAACATTTTTAAAAATCTGAGATGGGATTTTCTCTCACCAAATGGGATGGTGACCTAAAATTAAAATTAAGTTGATTTAAAAAAAGAAAAGGTGCCTTAGCTGGCTTGGCTCCGCGGACTAAAGGGTCATGGGTTTGATTCCGGTCAAGGGTACGTACCTTGGTTGCAGGCTCCATCCCTGGCCCCAGTCGGGGGAGGTGTGGGGTGTGGGGTGTGGGGGAGGTGTGGGAGGCAACCAATATATGTGTCTCTCTCACATCAATGTTTCTCTCTTCCTTCCACTCTCTCTAAAAATCAATGGAAAAATATCCTTGGGTGAGGTTATTAATAAAAAAGGGGGGGAAAAGACTAGAAAAAGGAATGTTGGTATTTTTCCTTTGAATGAATGAATTCTTATTACCCAACTCTAAGAAAAGGAGACTGAGTCAATATCCTGAGACAGGGTCACACGGGTTTACCTGGGATGGAGCCATCTAGAGAAAGGGACATGCGGTGCGTCGGAAAGTGGTGAAAAACAATGCCCAGCTGGCCAGGGAAAGTGTGAGCTATTCCCAGACCTCTGCTTCTTAAGCTGGGAGAGCATACCCCAATTCTGATCAAGTATCTGTTAGGCCTCCTTACCAGTTTTGTGATCTGGGGTTCCCTGGGGAATTTTTGGTGTCTCGTGGAAGAACCAAAGGATCTGATAGCAGAGGATTTGGTTCCCACTCCACCCTTGTTAGACGAAACCGAGTGCCCACAGGTGGGCAGCACACCCTGCTTGCTCCTAGGATACAGCGGCCACAGCCTTGCCACCCACATGCCCGAGGAGGGCCAGCTCAAAAACTCTGTGCTCTCTCAGAGGCAGGGCAGGGTGCCTGGGGGGGGGGTTCACCCTCTAGCCTCTCTTGGTGACTGCAGCAGCCCCTTCGATTTACTAGTAGACAGCCCCGACTGCCATTGTCTTAGTTGGGGTTTCACCAGAGCAGACCCTGGCCTGGGGATTAAGTGCAAGTAGTTTGTCTGGGAAGTGATCCCAGGAAGCTTTGGTGGGAGCAGGGAAGCCCATAAGGGCGTGTGAGGACTCTGGGAGCTGAGTCCTTACCGCTGATCAGGTCCTCAGGGCTGCGGATCGGCCCCTGGGGTGCTGCTAAGGTCAGGGCCACCGCCAGGGCTTTGGTACTACGTGTGTTACTGCTTAGCTCCACTGGTTACTGCAGGAGCCTCCTCCCTGTCCTGCCACCCCCAGCCTTGCACCTGATACCACAGTTGCTGTTTCTGAAGCATGTGGCGATCAGGACATGCCTTGCTCCAATGCCTTTGATGCTTCCGTATGTCGATGTGACCACATCTGGAGCTTTAGGTCTTGTGTTCCAACCAGGCAGTGGGTAGAGGCAGGGGATATCGCAGTGCCTGCCCCCAGGCAGCTGACCATCTGGCTGGGAGACGAGCAGTGACACAGGGTGCGGTCTGGGCTATGGTTGGAAAGGGAGAGGGTGTCCTAGGAACCCAAAGGAGAGGTGCCACACAGTCTTGAGTCACAGAAGCTTTTGATGTAGAAACTGTTGGTTGAGCATGGGATCCCTTCTCCCCTCCTTGCTTAACAGATCTCCTGCATTTGGGGGAGTGGCAATGACTCTCGCTGAACACCACCACGCTCCCCAGACTTCCTGGCTGATAGAAGCGGTCAGTGAGCGATAAGAGGAAGTCGCTGGGTTTCCAGAAAAGCTCTCTAAAGGAGCCCTTTTGTCCTTCCTACTTCCTACAATTTGGTACCAGGTGAGATGGCTGGAACTACAGTGGCCATATTGTGACTATGAGGGAATCTTGAAGATGGATGTACATGCTAGGGATGATGGGCAGAAAGAGAGGAGCCTGGGTCCCTAAAGACCTCTGAGCTCTCAACTCAGTCCTGAACTGACCACCTCCAGATATATATATATATTTCAGAGAGGAAGGGAGAGGGAGAGATAGAAACATCAGTGATGAGAGAGAATCATTGGTCAGCTGCCTCCTCCACGCCCCTCACTGGGGATTGAGCCCGCAACCCAGGCACGTGCCCTTGACAGGAATTAAACCCAGGACCCTTCAGTCCACTGACCGATGCTCCATCCACTGAGCCAAACCAGCCAGGGCCAGACTTCTTTTATGAGAGAAAATGTAAACTTTCCACTCTCGCCGCTGTTACTGGGGTTTTCTCTTATTGTCTGCTGCACCTAATCTGAGTGAATGCAGTGTCCTAGGATGTGCAATCTGCAGCATTAGCGGAAGTTAGAGAGGCAAACGGGGATTCCAGGGGCTGCAGGGAGGGGTTGAGAAGGCCAAGGAGAAAACGTGTCTGGGGCAGAGGGGAGAGTGTTCAAAGGCCTGGAGGAAAGACAGAACAGTGGGGTGTGTCTGGGGTTAGCAGAGAAGGGGTAGAGGAGATGGAGCCTGAAATGCCAGCAGGACTAGGACCCTGAGGGACTTAGCAGCCTGGTAACCCACAGGCAGAGGGAGCCCAGACGACTGGTGAGGTTTTCGCTTTAGGAAGATCCCTTGGTGCCCAGACAGAGGGGCTGGATTTCAGGGAAGAAGAGTTGACGACACCTTATGAGGCTGCTGCTGTGGTCAGATAAGAGATGGAATTGGTTTGCACTCGGCCAGTGGCTGTAGGAACAGAAAGAAATGGGCCGACCAGACTTTAAAAGGGAGAATTCCTCACTGTTGATGGGTGGTTGGATGTGCGGGGAGAGAGCAGGAGGAGCTGAGGACCAGGAGCCACAGATGAGATAGGAAACAGGTGAGAAGTTCAGGGCTGGAGGCCTGCAGCTGGAGGTGAGGCTGAGCCGGGAAAGAGGCGGGTGGGGAAGGAGCCCTGGCCTGGGCGCATGAGAGCGGCCACCCGCACACTTGATGGTGCCACCTTCAGAATTGCCCTTGGCCTCTTTAATTCCAGTTCTCAACCTAAACTGGGGCTGTCGTCCGCTAATTTATTTATTTTTATTATTTTTAAAAATATGTATTTTTATTAATTTCAGAGAGGAAGGGAGAGGGGAGAGATAGAAACATCAATGATGAGAGAGAACCATTGATTAGCTGCCTCCTGCACGCCCCGCACTGGGGATCGCCCGAAACCCAAAACCCGGGCAAGTGTCCTTGACATGAATCGAACCCGGGACCCTGCAGTCCGCAGGCCGACGCTCTATCCACTGAGCCAAACCGGCGAGGGCTCGTCAGCGAATTCAAAAAAGTTCCTGGCGCTCAGTGCAATGTTACCGAGTCTGAAGTGTTGCTCCCCGTGTCCCCTCCAACCCCCGCACTCCCGGTGCTCCCCGATTCTGTCCTTTCCTCTGACAAGGGGCGGGGGCATGTCCCAGCACCGCCCTCTGCTCAGGCGCCGGGACGGCCCGGAGGAAAAGCCCCTCGCCTTAGAGCCGCACCGCGACGACCCCCTATACTTCTTGTCCGTTTTGAGTAAGCCGAACGGGACCCAGGCAGGGGCGAGC